ATATATATATATATATATATATATATATATAGAACGGGAATGTTTCTCTTTACTCTGCATTGACACTCTAAAACATATTGGTATCAGAATGCAACTTATCAGAGAGGCAGAGAGATTGTTCCCTCTCTTATCTGAGACATGCGTATGTGTGTACAAAGGCAAGGTCCAGGCTGGAAACACCTGCCGTCTTGGCCATAAACTTGTGTAAATCGGACAGTTCAAACATCAGCGTTTCTAGCTGAACCGTAGGGCACCTTAGCAAACACACACATGCACAGAGTTTCAGTCTCCTGCACACACACTGCACCAGCTCTATCTGGGACATTAATCACCTGAAGCTTTGGTAAACAGGGAGTGCAGGTGAACAAAAGAGGGAAAGAATAAAAACGCAGAGGCAATCCAACATGGTGCACAGCATGTGGAAAATTGGTGGGTAGAGCTTTAGGAATCGAAGGCCCATTTTCCCCTTATTTTGTTGGTAATTGAACTTTGAACCATAATGTGCACTGCAGACAGAGGTAATTAGCATGCGACAAACTGATGTTGATTGCCTGAAATGAGCATTTTAGGAGGAAGCCACAGAGGTAGAATGCAAAGTGTTTTTCTATTGTATGTGTAAGTAGGGGAACCTGATTTGAGGTGTGTGTATAGAAATGGGATTTTGAGCCCCACATGTAGCCGTGTGCTAGCAGGAGGAACGGCCCCCTGTTTCAACAAAAGGTGCATTATCGTGACTCTGAATAGAGCCACCTCAGGCCTTTTCATTTGGTCTTCCGCCTCGAAGGGAATCACGCTCTTTCCACCTGCCGGCCCTTGAGGTGACAGGGTTCATTCCAGTATCTGGTATGCAAGGTTTTTTCCTGGTTTACGAAACACGAGACACATCCAGTAAAGTATTGGCCAGATTTCCTGTTGCAATTGCTATCATCACAATGAATATGTGGGGGTTTCCCTACACAAGCTGTTAGGAAGGGATATATAACCCATCTGCATAACTACAAGGCCAGCGGTTTAATCAACGTGTGTGGCTAAGGGGGTCAACTGGCACATTTTAATTTCTCAGTGTGTGACTGATACATGACCTCTTTACATTTCTTTCAAGAGACCCTTTCATGCTTTTTGGGGGGTTATTTTCCCTTATCTGTAGTGGATTATAGGTTTGTGTGCAAGTAAATGGTCTGCAAAGGCTACAAACTAAAAGTACCCTCCAGAGGGAGTTTCTCTCCCACACACTCCCCTCCTGCCTGAAACCCCTCCATTGGACTCCTTTGTTTACTTCTGTAACAAAAGGTACATCACTTTGTAACACATTTGTTTCTAATGGCTAATGCTCAAACACATTGAACGTGATAGAGAAGTCCGGCTCCTTAGTCTAACAGAACCAGCCAGCTGACCAATCAGAGCAGACTGGAATCTGGTTTCAGACAGAGGGTGAAAAAAGGTGCTGCGAAACAGGCAGTATGACAGAAATAAAGACCTTTGTGAACATTAAAGCTTGTAAACTAGGGGTGTTGAAATTAATCGTTTCTACGATGCATCGTGATGCGGACGTTGGCGATTCTGCATCGATGCAGGGACAGAACATAATCGATTATAGCATAGTAACGTTGCTTCCTGATCTTCCGGCCGCGGCTGGACAATAACGTTTTTTTTCCCTTTTTTTTCTGTCACACGAATATAAAATCGGTTGGTGACGCAGAGATCAGGGAACAGACGTGACAGCGGCACAGTGACTCCAAACACGGAGCAGCCTGCTTTATCCACCAACACAAGCACCAGTCCAGAACCAACAGCAGAAGGACCCGCTCTGAATCAGTCCGTGTCGCTGCGGCTCAGAGACACACATCGATTTATGTTTTTGAAAAACACTCGTTGTCGTCATGTCAGGTTTTTGATGGATTTAATCAAGCCTTGGATTGCAGAGTGTGAGTGTCCTCTTGCTATTTTCAGACGATAAATACGTGTAAAGTTTCTGAAGGCAGGAGGAAAGCTTCCGCGATCAGCGTCTCCTCTCTGCTGCTCCAAACCCCGCCCCCCTGAAAATAATGAGTGAGAGGCTGATAGTAACCTGATAGAAACTTTATTATTCACT